ACTCTAAAAGCAGCAGATGCAGGAGCCGCTGGGAGCCGCGCGGTGGCGCCGTTTCCTCCCTCTGCTCCACCGCTGCCTGCTGCTGTGGGGCAGAAGAAGAAGTTCTGCCTGAATCTGAAACTGTGAAGAACCAAAGTTCTGATCAACACGGCCTCATGTAGCGCTGCTGAAGTCCAGCTCCGACCGGTCGGAACCGGGTCCAGTTCCGATGTCATACTGAAGAGTCTCTGTGGTCCAACCCGGGCTGAGCTGAAGAACCATCTTGATTCAGAAGGGTTGGTCGGACCGGGTCGGAACCTCTATCATAAATAAAACTGTCACATGAAGCACAACATGAGCGTTTCTGTGGTTTTATTGAACGTTCGGCTCCGTGTTCAGAACCGGCTCCGCTCGGTTGGTTACCACATGGTTCCATCAGCGGTATGGATTCGGAACGAAGAGCCAGAATCTCAGCCAGTTTGGATCCGTCTGGTTCTGGGGGAGGAGTCAGATCAGCGTCACGTGACTTACTGCGTCATCATCATGGCGGCTGCCGGTGTCGTTCACGGTGAGGTTGGTGGTTGGTGACGGAATGAGGTGAAGAGCAGAACCAGAAGAGAAAAGAATCTACTCGGCAGCTGAACAGACCTGTAGGCTTTGACTAGACCCTCCGGCTGACCAGTTCGTATGTGAGGAGCTGCTTTTACTGATTCTGTTGAACTTTAGGCCGTTTGGTTCATCAGTCTGAATATTATTATTTCTAATCTGCTGATTTAGTTCAGATGTTTAATCTGCAGAAACTTTTATTTTGAAAGATTCTCTCTTCCGTTTCTCAGATCAGCTGAGGGGAGTCTTTGTGTTTCTGTCGTTTCAAATTCAATACTTGATTGATACCATAAAGTTCCAACTCAGTTCCTGTAGACGGATCTGCTGTAGCAGTCTGTGTCACATCGAACTGGAAGAAGCTTCTGACTGACACCGTTTCATGAAGAGGATGGTCAGAGTTATGCTTAATTCTCCTGATTTGTGTGAAATCCTTCTTTGCATCATCATCATCTGCAGGGTTTTCACAATAAAAGTCCAACAAATAAATCAAAATGCTTTTTCCTCCAGTGAGGACAGATGCAGTTTGTCTCCTGGCTGAACAGAAACACCTGTCCTCCACCTGTGTCCTCTGTAGCTATGAGTGTGATGTCATCAGTGATGCGGGCTGCGCGGCTGCTCCGGAGCCCCGCCCCCCTGCTCACCTGGCCTCAGAGCAGACCACTGACCTCCAAGCAGGTAAGGCTGTGGATGTTAGCTTAGCTTGTGGTTGGTGACCTGCACTAGAGTAAAGGCTAATGACTCACTTGGTGCAGGTCAAAGGTCAGAGGAAGGAGCAGAAGAAGCTCAAAGTGGACAAACAGGAAGTGGAGATCAGACAGGGCATGACGGCGGCGGCGCTGGCGGCGGCCATGAACAGAGACTTTGGTGAGCAGCCGAGCTAACGCCGGTGACCCGATTCCCCTGCAGATTCTACTGACCCGGTTCTGCTGCAGACCACGTTCTGGAGGCGCTGCTCAACACACCGGCGGACCTGGACTCGCTCGGGCCCGACTCGGTTCTGGAGGACAGCTGGATCAAGGAGGCGGTGATCCGGTCCGGGATGAAGTTCACATGGGCCAAGCTGAGCGAGAGCCGAGAGCGGCCCGACAGAGACGCCCAGAGGAGGTAGGGGCGGAACCGGGCCCGACCCGGCCCGGCCCGGCCCGGCCCGGCCCGGCCCGGCCCGCCAATCATCCGACTGACCTGTCTGTGACCCTTCCCTGCCCCCAGGCCCCCCGCTGACCCGCGCTCCTGGTGAGTCGCCCCCCGGTGGTCACCATCATGGGTCACGTGGATCACGGGAAAACGACGCTGCTGGACAGCCTGAGGAAGAGCCAGCTGGTCGCCATGGAGGCCGGCGGCATCACGCAGCACATCGGAGCCTTTCTGGGTAACGGTGCCGCGGGGGGCGGGGCCAGCCGGGAGGCTCCGCCCCCAAAGCTCCCAGCTCCTTCTTCGCAGAGCTCCCGACCTCTGACCTTTGTCCATCCCTCCTCCAGTCCAGCTGCCGACTGGGGAGCGGATCACCTTCCTGGACACGCCGGGCCACGCCGCCTTCTCCTCCATGAGGGCCGCGGCGCCAACGCCACCGACATCGTGGTGCTGGTGGTGGCGGCCGACGACGGCGTCATGAACCAGACCGTGGAGTCGGTCCAACACGCCAAGAACGCCAAAGGTAGGAGCGGGCGTGGTTCTGGTGTTCTGGTTCTGGTGTTCTGGTTCTGGTGTTCTGGTTCTGGCCCGGTGTTGGATCCAACATTCTTGCTGGACATTAATATGGACACAGGGAGACGGTTCCATTTTCTGGTCCAATCTTCCAACTGAACGGAGAACTCTGCCCAGAGATCCCGGTCCCTCCGTCTTCGGACCAGAACCAACATTGAGACTCAGCTTGATTACAACTGTTTGCATAGAAGGAAAACAAATTGTCTAGATTGTGTCTTTGCATCTCCTGAGGTTCCAGTTGTTTGTCTCTCTGGACCTTAAAGCTTCGTGTCTTTCCGTCTCATAAAACCAGAGTTTCTCTGGACGTCCAGTCATGGATCCATCGTCCTGCTCCGGGATTCTCTGGGTCTGATGCAAACGACTCATTGGTCCCGGGAGCAAACAAGGGATTCTTAAAGTCTCCTGATCTGTATTTTCAGTGCCCATCATCGTGGCGATCAATAAGTGTGACAAGCCGCAGGCCGACCCCCAGCGGGTGAAGCGGGAGCTGCTGGCGCACGGCGTCGTCTGCGAGGAGTTCGGCGGCGACGTTCAGGCCATCCACGTCTCGGCTCTGAAGGTGAGACGATCCGAACGGAACCGCCGCGGCCGGACCGACCCGAACCGCCGCGGCCCGACCCACGATGTCGCTGTTTCCAGGGCGACAACCTGCAGGCTCTGGCCGAGGCCACGGTGGCGCTGGCCGAGGTTCTGGAGCTGAAGGCGGACCCGGACGGCCCGGTGGAGGCCGTCGTTATCGAGAGCCGGACCGACAAAGGCAAAGGGTGAGTCCTCCCGGAACCGGGTCCGGTTCTGACGGGAGTTCCTCTGACGGACCCGCTTCCTGTGCCCAGCCCCGTGACCACGGCCATCGTCCAGAGGGGGACGCTGCGGCGCGGCTGCGTCCTGGTGGCCGGCCGCTGCTGGGCCAAGGTCCGCTTCCTGTTCGACGAGAACGGCCGCACGGTGCCGGAGGCGGCGCCGAGCGCGGCGGTCCAGGTGGTCGGATGGAAGGAGCTGCCGTCTGCCGGAGAGACGGTGCTGGAGGTGGAGTCAGAGGTGAGGGCCAGAACCGGGCCAGAACCGGCGTCTGATCGGTGAATCTCTGATGTGCATTAGCTACTTCCTGTGTGGACCGCTGCAGTAAAAGCCTGTCCTGTGGCCTGCAGCAGCGGGCCAGAGAGGTGGTGGAGTGGAGGAGCTACCAGGCGGAGCAGCACAAGCTGCTGGAGGAGCAGAGCGCCATCCAGCTCAAGCAGCAGCGCCACTGGAGGAGTACCGGCGGGAGCGCGAGCCGCTGGCCCACCTGAGCTGGCGCCAGAGGAGGAAGGCGCTGTACCGGTCCGACAAGACCCGCTTCTCCATGCGGCCCAGCGAGCGGACAGAGAGCGACGAGGTCAGCCTGCCGCTCGTCATCAAAGGTGGGGACGGCGCTGACTGCTGACCTCTGACCTACTGCTGACCTCTGACCTACTGCTGACCTCTGACCTACAGGAGACGTGGACGGGTCGGTGGAGACGCTGCTGAACATCCTGGACGGCTACGACGCCCAGGACGAGTGCCAGCTGGACGTGATCCACTTTGGCGTCGGCGACGTCTCGGAGAACGACGTCAACATGGCCGCCGCGTTTGGAGGTACGTCCGGCGACCCGGGGTCAAACAGCGTTGGCTTGGTAACGGGAGCAGGTTCCTGTTCTGTTCTTCAGGGTCGGTGTACGGCTTCAACGTGGCGGCGAGCCGCAGCGTGACGCAGCTGGCGGCGCGGCGGGGCGTGGCCCTGCGGCTGCACCGCGTCATCTACCAGCTGGTGGAGCAGCTGCGCCAGGAGCTGAGCGGCAAGCTGCCGCCGCAGCGCCGCTGCTGCACCGTGGGTGAGTCCAGAACCGGGTCAGACGCTCCCATCTGCTGGAGGGTCTCAGAACCCACAGTCTGCTCTGTCCACCTGTCCCGCCAGGTGAGGCGACGGTCCTCGCCGTCTTCGACGTCTCTGTGGGGAAGAAGAAGGTTTTGGTGGCCGGCTGCCGGGTCCAGAAGGGTCAACTGGACCGCCGGCTGAAGTTCCGGCTGATCGAGGACGAGACACGGTGTGGGAGGGTGAGTGAGACCAGAACCGGGCCGGGTCCAATTGGTTCTGAACTTTAACTTCCTGTTGTTCTGAACCTCGGGGATTCATGTGGTCGGATTCTGATGGGATCTGGATGAACTGGTACATGTTCAGTTCAACTCGTTCTCCTGGTCAGGACCTTCTCTGATTGGCTGAGCAGGAGGTCAGAGGTCAGGTGGAACCTTCAGATATCATTAAACACCAGTTTCAGTTAAACCAATGCTGACAGTCACTTTATGTACGCGCTGCTCAAACCCTCCTCATTAGCAGTAACAAACGCTTTCCTGAACGTTGTTTCTGCCAATAGAACTTTTGGCAGCACATGCATAAGGATGATTGACAGATCAGGAGCGGTGCATCACCGTGGAGACGGTTAGGGTCTAGAACAGTTCAGCTTTAATGATCCGGTTCTGGTTCTGGTGCAGGTTCCGTGTCGGCGCTGAAGCACCATAAGGACGACGTGGCGACGGCGAAGGCGGGCATGGAGTGCGGCGTGTCGCTGGACGGCGAGGTGGAATTCAGCGCCGGTGATGTCATCGAATGCTTCGAGGAGCAGGAAGTTCTTCGGGTCACTTCCTGGGACCCTGGGTTCTGACCGGACGGACCCTCAGACTGAGAAACGACTCGGTTCGGTTCTGAAGCATTTTATTAATATTTCATAAAAACAAATCTGATCATCGATTCACATGTTCAAATAAACGATTCCAACATCCAGACCCGGACGCTTCATTCCGGACAGGAAGTCCCGCCTTCCAGAGAAACCTCCCCGCTGGGTCTACTTCTTCCTGGTTCTGGCAAGCAGTGCCGGGTCGATCCGGTCTGGACTCAGGCCTCTGACGGAGAAGAGGCGGGCGGCGCGCTCCGACCGCGTTCCCCCGCACTTCAGGCCGCGGCGCATCAGTTCCTCCTTCAGAACCTCCAGACCCAGAGACTCCAGCTGCTGGACGGACGGCACCGAGGACAGGTCCAACTGCTGAGGCAGAACCAGAACTGTCAGAACCAGCAGAGGGTTCTGCTCTAAATCATGTTTAAGCATATGGATTCTGGTTCTGACCTGACCCGGTTCCCTGCAGCCATGAGGAGGGTTCTGGTCCCCTGACAGTCCAACAGCCGGTTCCGTCTGGAGCTCGGGGTCCTGGACCTGGGCCGGTTCCGTCTGGAGCTCGGGGTCCTGGACCTGGGCCGGTTCCGTCTGGAGCCCGGGTCCTGGACCTGGGCCGGTTCCGTCGGGAGCCCAGGGTCCTGGACCTCTGAGGTTCTGGTGGTTCTGGTGGTTGGAGCGGTGCTGGAGAAGACAGCAGAACTTGAGTCTGGATGTGGATCCAGATCATAGGAACCAGTTTGATTCTGGTTCTGATGGTGAAATGGTCTGGTTTGGATCGGTTCTGGTTAAAGTAAACAACTGAATCAGAACTGAGAATATTTGGACCGGCGCTGGACGGGTTTCTACAGCTGGAACCAGTTAGAACCATCAGAACCAGTTTAACCAGCCCTCCCAGCAACAGAACCCATCCTGAAACGGATCGGTCCAGAACCAGCAGTCGGTCCAGAACCAGCAGTCGGTCCAGAACCAGCAGTCGGTCCGATCAGTGGACTTTGAACATTTTGATCTAATGCTGACCTCTGACCTCTGAGGAGCAGGCATGTCCTCACTGCTGATATTGATCCAGATATCTGATCGATCAACAAACCTGCTGCTGGGTCCAGGCTCCGCCTCCTCCCTCGGGGTCGTCATGGTAACGGCTCCTCTGCTGTATGGAGAATCATCTTCATCATCATCTTCATCATCATCTTCATCATCATCATCTTCATCCTCATCATCATCTTCATCCTCAGAGCTCAGCAGCTCGTCCAGCCCCGTCCTGTAACCATGGTGACAGGGTCAGAGCCGGTCTGTCCTCCCTTCACTGGGTCAGAACCTCAGACACCCACCAGAACCCGGCCGCCGCCGCAGTCTTCCTCCTCTTCCTCGAAGGGGCTTGGTTCTGATCCGGGTCGGCTCCGACCTTCACCTGACTGCTGGCGGTCGCCTGTAGACCTGCAACACACACCTTCAGGACCCGGTTCTGACCCGTGACCCGGTTCTGACCCGCCACCCGGTTCCGACCCGTCACCTTTCAGAACCGAGTCCTCCAGACGCTCGCTCAGGTCGTGGCACTGCTGCTGGTACTGCGGGTCGGCGAACTGATGCCGCGGCTCCGACAGCTTCCTCTGCAGACGCTCCAGCCGCCGCTGCTCCTTCTCTGCCTCGCGCTCCGACTGCTTCTTCAGCCAGTCGGCCATCCTACCAGAACCAGAACCAGAACCAGAATCTGTCTGGATCCTTCAATACAAAACAACATCCAGAGCAGGAGGAACTTACTCCTTCTCATGGTTCACGTCCCGAAGGCGCCGGCCGCTCAGATCTCTGCAGGCCTCTCTGTTGGTTGTCTTCTCGATCTGCGCGCCCAAAGCCCGGAGCATGGACCCAAAACCTGGAAAACCAACAAAACCTGGAAAACCAACAAAACCTGGAAAACCAACAAAACCTGGAAAACCAATGAAACCTGGAAAACCAACAAAACCTGGAAAACCAACAAAACCTGGAAAACCAATGAAACATGGACCCAAAACCTGGTGATGGGATCAGTGCATTTCCTGGAACTGACCTCCCTTCCCTCCGCGGAGCCGGGGATCCAGGCGGTAGACGGCCCCATCCTGCAGCCGCTCCTCCGGCCCGGACAGGCGGCCGTTAGTGGTGACGTACCAGTCCTGATGGGAAATACTGGATCAGTCAAGATTCCTACAAACTGGACCTGAGACAGAACCAACGACCCGACACCACTTCCGGGTGAGACCTGTGGTTCCGACTTTTACTTTCTGACATCTAAAGGTCACTCAGTGCTGTGGGACACCGTCACAAAATGATGCATAAATCTAAATCTTGAAATACATTTATTTAGAATAATACAAATCTTCTCTAAACACGAAACTATTTGTTCAGAGTTTGAGAACCGTTTGAATTCCCAGTTCCACTGAAACTGGAAGTACTGGGATCAGAGGAGTCCCAGCAGGAACTTGATCTGAACACCAGTTTCACTGATTGAATGTTAAATATGTAATTCTTCACAAGCAATAAAGATTTAGTAGAAAAGAAATCTCCCATCTGATCACCTCCAGGAAACTGGAACATCTTAAACTAACGTTAATGCAGCTCTGAATTGAAATAGGAGATTTATGTTAAAGCTTGCTGTCAACCTATAACATGTTGAAATGCGAAGATTTTCTTTTAAATATCCAACATTAGCCTTCGGTAGCTCAGCAGCTAACAGGCTTCCAGCTCCGATTTAAGCCCCACGCTAAGGTTCGGTTCCGGTTCTGTTAGATAAAATCACTCACCTGGCGCGGGACTAACCGTTCCAGAACGTCTCTGACAACAGAACCAGGTGGAAACTCGAAGCTTGAGCACCTGAAGCTCGGAGCAACAACAAACACCTCCATCTTGGCTCCGTTTGTTACGCCGCTGAACGCACTGCGCAGGCGCAGAACTTTATGGGGACGTCTCCCAGGCGCCTCCTGGCGCATAGGATGAGAATCGACGTTCTTGGGCGAAACACAAACCAGTAAATACATAAAATAATAAACTTAATTTTCTATTCATTTCAAACAGACAAAAATAAACAAACAAATAAAAATTTAAAATTTGAAAAGTTTCTGAAGCTGTATAAGATTTCCAGTCCAGATTTGCATTAACCTTCTTAAATCAGCCGGGGAGGGCGCTGTGGCCCAACAGGAAGTCAAAGAGAACTCGTCTTCTTCTGGTCTTGGAGGACAACATGGCGGCCTTGTGGAGCCTGAGGTTCGGCTACCGGTCCGTGTTTCGCTTCTCCTCAAGCGTTTCCGTCCGGACCTCCTTCAGCTCGAACTGTGAGGACGGAACCAGAACCGGCTTCGCGGCAGCCTTCCAGCGGCAGGCGGAGCTCCAGCGGGAGGCAGAGACCTCCGCGCCCGGTCAGAGCGCCTCCACCTCCGGCGAGGAGCAGACCTTCGCCTCGCTCTTCCAGGCAGTTCCGCTCAGAGACAAGGTTGTGGTCGGGAACATCTTCCATGTGGTCCGGGACGACCTGTACATCGACTTCGGAGGGAAGTTTCACTGCGTCTGCCGGAGACCCGCGGCCGGAGGAGAGAGGCTGCAGCGGGGCTCCAGGGTCCGGCTGAAGGTCCTGGACCCGGAGCTCACCGCCCGGTTCCTGGGAGCCCAGACCGACACCACCCTGCTGGAGGCCCAGGCGGTGCTGCTGGGTCCGCTGGAGGGACGGGAAGCGCAGGGACGGGTGCAGAAGCAGAACTAGAACCGGGACCGAAACCAGCTCTGGTTCTGGCCCGCTGAGCGGATCATTACGTTTTAAATCACGTTTGTGTAAAATAATCAGAATAAATGTCTGTAAAGTATTAAAGTTTCTGTCTGCAGTTTCTGGAATCTGGCCCAAACTAAGCAAGATCAGAACCAGAACCAGAGAGTAATCAGTCAGGATGTTCTGATGGACCGGCTCAAACCAGCACTGAGATCCAGGAACTGAAGTTCTGGACCAAGTGCTGTTACGATCTGGATCATCCAGAACTTTCTGTCTGTGGTCCAACTGGGAACTGGTTCCGTAACAGCTGGAGCAGTTTGGACCGAACCTGGGATGAACTTGTTGGTACCGAGGTCCTTCAATATCCTCCCATTAATGTGTTCATTAATGAATCTTTTCCTGGTTCAATAACCCAGCAGATCAAACATTAACAAACATCTTTATAACAAACAGAAATACTTGGACTAGACCGATGAAGAGGCAGATTTTCAGTACAGTTACAGAAATAAGATGAAGCAACTTTTATTTTATTTTAAAGCTTATATGTAATCAGGCTAATGACATTTGATGTCATCCAAAATTAGGAGCTTATATTCTCATACAGGATGAGAATATAAGCTCATCCTGTTCCGGTTCTGTTTGTGGCCCCAGGGGTTTTTGGTCCCAGGGGTTTGTGGCCCCAGGGGTTTTTGGTCCCAGGGGTTTTTGGCCCCAGGGGTTTTTGGTCCCAGGGGTTTTTGGTCCCAGGGGTTAAGTCAGCTGCAGGAGGAGAGTTGTCGGTTCTGTAATGTCGGCTGTGACGGATCAATGGGCCATGGATCCACGTGGAACAATCTGCAGCAGAGCATCTGGACATGCAAGAGGAAATTCCTCCAAGATCCAACACCAACAGCTTTGATTCGCAACAGCGGCGCCCCCGAGAGGCCCCTCGGCGCCCCTGGGGGCCCCTCGCCCTGCCGGGATCAATCCTATGTCAACAGATTGGCCTGGAGTTTGTGGTTCAGTTCTCCGTCTGTCTTGCAAATTGTCCTCCCAGCGCGCTCAGGGACAGAGGTCAGCATGAGGTGTTGGACTGTTGCTTTTATTATTGTCTCTTGATTTGATGTTTGCATCTGTTTCCTGCTACTGCTGAATGGTGTGTGACCCCCTAACCCTAACCTAACCTAACCCCTGACCCATAAATGAACAAACAGTCACTTGCGGACGTTAACGTTGACGGGTCTGATCTTCTGTCACTCGGTTGGCTGGTGAGCTAATGATTTTCACCAGAACCTGTGGACTGGGTTTGGACCTGTAGTGACCTGGTTCTGACCCGGTTTATTGTCTGAATCTGGAATATTTCAGGATAAAAAGCGTTTGACGAACCTGGAGGGAACCGGGCTTTAGGTTCTGATCCAGGAGGTTAAAGGATGTGGATAGTCACACAATCAGCTGATCTGCTTCACTTTATTAAAGTTCAATAAACCCTGAGCAGGTTCTTACAGGCATAAATACAGAGGAGCTACAGCGCCCTCTATCAGGTCAAACTGGTACAGCAGGAGGGAGGAAGAGCTCAGGAACAGCAGGATGTTGGTGGTTCTGGTTCGACGACCCGGTGGAGCCCAGCTGCATGTCAGTAGAAATGAATGAATGAATCTGTGTTCTCTATTTGAGATTGAAACTTTCTTAGATGAACCATTTCTAACATTTTGTTAAATAAGCTCTGAAATGAAAGCAGCTGATCATAGTGAATGACAGCTGAACAGCAGTATTCTCCAATGAGAGAATACTGATGGACGAGCCGTCTCACCTGACCAGGTGAGTCCTCTTGGGTAAACTGAGCTGGGTGGAATCATGCATGTTAGTGAAGGTTATGATAATTAACAGGTAAATACGAATTAATATAATAAATACACTTAGAATCAGACTGAGGCTCAACACTGTAGCCTTGCTGTCCTGTAATTATTATATTATTATTATGATTATGTAGTAACTGTAATGTGGACGTTTTGTATCTCAGTGGAGCAGCAGCAGCTTCTCAGTCTGTCCTCTTGGGGGCGCTCTGGGTTTCAGCCACACATGGTCACAAAGAGCCACTGTGGAGAAGAAGCAACAGACAAACCGTGAATGTCAGGCGCCCCCTGGTGGCTACACTTCCTGCCTGTTGTCATGGAAATGTCGGTTCATTTGAGTCTCACTGGATATCTAGAATCAGTTCATTAGGATGATCCGTTCATCAGATCACACAGTTCATTTCTACATTATTCAGAACCGGATCCGTTTCCGCCATGACCCATGAAGACCCACCCAGCAGGACGCCGACCTCATCCCCACTGAGAATGAATCGGTCAGTGAAAAACTTTAAGAAGAAAATACGAAATTCATACCATCTTCAAGTCAGTAATGCTAAGTAACATTATTTGTAATTGTATTTTTATTTTGTTTGTTACAAATTACTCATATAAGCTTCACATTATTCCAGTAACAAAAGGGATTTTGTATTTCTCACAGCTTAATAAGTTAACAGTGAGCTGGTGAAACTAGATGAATACAGGAAGGTTTGATGCCAGAGAATTAAGGTAGCAATGCTTATGTTAGCAATACTTATGTTAGCAATGCTTATGTTAGCAATACTTATGTTAGCAATATTTATGTTAGCAATACTTATGTTAGCAATATTTATGTTAGCAATATTTATGTTAGCAATACTTATGTTAGCAATATTTATGTTAGCAATACTTATGTTAGCAATACTTATGTTAGCAATACTTATGTTAGCAATATTTATGTTAGCAATATTTATGTTAGCAATATTTATGTTAGCAATATTTATGTTAGCAATACTTATGTTAGCAATATTTATGTTAGCAATATTTATGTTAGCAATATTTATGTTAGCAATATTTATGTTAGCAATACTTATGTTAGCAATATTTATGTTAGCAATACTTATGTTAGCAATATTTATGTTAGCAATATTTATGTTAGCAATACTTATGTTAGCAATATTTATGTTAGCAATACTTATGTTAGCAATATTTATGTTAGCAATATTTATGTTAGCAATACTTATGTTAGCAATATTTATGTTAGCAATATTTATGTTAGCAATACTTATGTTAGCAATATTTATGTTAGCAATATTTATGTTAGCAATATTTATGTTAGCAATACTTATGTTAGCAATATTTATGTTAGCAATATTTATGTTAGCAATACTTATGTTAGCAATATTTATGTTAGCAATATTTATGTTAGCAATACTTATGTTAGCAATATTTATGTTAGCAATATTTATGTTAGCAATATTTATGTTAGCAATATTTATGTTAGCAATACTTATGTTAGCAATATTAACGATAGCAATACTTGTTAGCAATATTAACGCTAGCAATATTTGAGTTAACGACAAGAGAAGCAGAAGGAAAACGTCAAGTTAATATCATCCAACTGGGTTCCTTCATCCGAGATGGGAATGATCGGAGTGGTTTGGAATCATCAGAATACAGAACATGACTCTGGACTCGGTCCAAAGTCCAGAGGACCAGAACCAAGCTGTAAAGTAAAAGGACAGAACAGGGTTTGTACCTCCATGAGGTTCATCTCCACAGTTCCAGTCCCGTCTCTGTCCAGGCCCTGGAAGATTCCTGAGCAACAGACTCCAACAGGTCAGTTCAGAACCACATGAACAGAACCGGCTCATGGATCAGGGTGTGGACTTACTGAACATGGTCTCCAGTTTGACCAGGCAACAAGTGAAGTTGTCAAAGTCGATGATCTCACTGTCGGCGTATCGAGCGATCAACATCTGATACAGCTTGTTGTTCAGTTTGAACCCTGCAGATGGAGCACATCCCAGGTCAGGTGCAGAGAACCAAGCCCGGTCCAACCCAAACTTCTTCCAGGAACATAAAACTCACCGCCGTTTTCCAGCGCAAGACGCATCTCGTAAGAGTTCATGCAGCCGACTTATCCAGATCAAACTCTCTGAAGATCCCCTGAAACACAACATTATCTCCTGAAAACCTAAACTGGACCCAGCAGGACCTTAACCCTGACCCGTTTGGGTCAGAACCAGCCTGACTACTCCACTGACTCACCAGCCACTTCCTAATCTTGTTCCAAAGGATCTGAAACTCCAGCAGACCGAGCCGAGCGCTGCCGTCTTTCTGAGCTCCAA